CTGCCGCCCGGGGCCGGGCGCCCGGCCTGCTCCGCCATGGCGAGTGACAGCGGCGGGCTCAGCGGGCCGAGCGCCAGCGAGCGCGAGCGCCAGTACTGCGAGCTGTGCGGGAAGATGGAGAACCTGCTGCGCTGCGGCCGCTGCCGGAGCTCCTTCTACTGCTCCAAGGAGCACCAGCGCCGGGACTGGAAGAAGCACAAGCTCGTGTGCCAGAGCGGCGAGGCCGGGCCCAAAGGGGTTCCCGGGGCGGGGGGAGCGGCCCGGACAACGGCCGAGGCGCCCCCGGCACGGCACTCGCCGCGCCCCGAGCGCACCCTGCTGAGCTCCGGGGAGGCGCTGAGCCCTGGTGGCGGAGCCGGGCGACCGCGGCCCAACGGGCAGACGAAGCCGCTGCCCGCTCTGAAGCTGGCGCTGGAGTACATCGTGCCGTGCATGAACAAGCACGGCATCTGCGTGGTGGACGATTTCCTGGGCCGCGAGACGGGGCAGCAGATCGGCGACGAGGTGCGCGCGCTGCACGACACCGGCAAGTTCACGGACGGGCAGCTGGTCAGCCAGAAGAGCGACTCGTCCAAGGACATCCGAGGCGACCAGATCACCTGGGTGGAGGGCAAGGAGCCCGGCTGCGAAACCATCGGGCTGCTTATGAGCAACATGGACGACCTCATCCGCCACTGCAATGGGAAGCTGGGCAGCTACAAGATCAACGGGCGCACGAAGGTGAGTCGGGGGCGGGCGGGAGGGGAGTCTGGGGGAGGGCGCGGGGACGGGGCGGGCAGAGTCTGCGCGCTGCCCTGGCTGAGCGCGGGGCTGACCCCACGCGCGGCGTTGTGGCGCTGTAAACCCTCTCTGCGGTGCTAACCACGCCTTGGGGACATTAGGATACCACAGGCGCCCGGCCCCTCTCTGCCGGCGTCTGCCAAGCTGTTGCTTGCCCCGTTCTGACCGAGCGTCGGACGCTGCGCGTTTAGTTGAGAATCGGTGGGCAGAACTCAGAAAGGGGCATCCTGAGCACATCTGGGGCAAAGATTCCCGCATCCAGGAAAAGCTTGGCTGCACCCCTTACAGCTCGGTCATGCTCCTCATCCCTACTGTTTTGCAACCCGCTACACAACAGGGAAAGAGATTTCCGTTTGCTCGTCTGCGTGGAGGCAGGTTATATTTTTAGCGCCAGGTTACCTCGCTTTGCTTTGTTAATATGATGCCTCTGTTCAGAAAGAGCTGTCAGTAGCTTCTTGGAAAACTGCAACTCGGAATTGGGGCAGGACAGGGGATTCGCCAGGTTTCACTTTGGGGAAACCTCGTTACTTTCTCTTTGCTATTACACCCTCAAACCCAGTGAGCAGCGTTTTCCCAGTCAGACCCTTCTACCTCTCGGCAAGGTAAACAGCAGAGCTGCTGCTACTCCTGCAGCTCTTTGGCATCTTACTTCCCAGAACTAAATCTTTTCTTTGTATCCTGCTTCAGGGCTACCCCACTCTACCTCCTCCACCATCAGTCTCTGATGTTGTGCGTTTTGAGAGATTGTCTCCTGGGAAGTTATCAGAGGCACTTGTTTGTACACAGCCCGTTTCTTCCCATCGTGCGCGCGCGCGCGCGTGTGTGTGTGTGTGTGTGTGTGTGTGTGCGCGCGCGCGCGCTCTCGCGCACTTCTGTGTGAAACTGCCTTGACAGTGTGTGAGTTTCAAGCTGCCCAAAGGCTGAGCAGAGGCCACCAGCACAGTTCTGAAGGGGAAAGTTTTGTGGGGAAAAACAGTGTGAGGTCTGACTTACATCTTTCAGATTTATTGCAGCATGAAAGCACATGTTTTTTGTTGTTGTTTTTTTTTTCATTTTGGTATCGGGAGTTGAACTCAGGACTAAGCTCTTGTCAGGTAAGCGCTTACCACCGAGGGTGTATCCCACATGCTTTTATTAAGTACTTTTGGAGAAAAATAATAGTCGCTTAAATCTAAGCTAAGAAGGAAAAGGGGTCCAGTTAAGCCTCAGCCTTGGTCTCCGCAAGATTTTCATTTATATTACAAGAGGAAGGTCACCGTGGATCAGAAGTCTCAGTGTAATCATGAACTCCAGCGGGAAAGGAGGGAGAGCCGGGAATAGGGTTGAGCATGTGGACGCTGAACACATCCCATGGTGGGGGCCCGAGTTTAATTTGGAGCCATGGAGACGGTGCTGTCCTATATCTGTCTTGATGTAATTTCCCAAGGTAACTCAGCTTTGTAGTCAGGCTGCGACCTCTTCTCTCCTGTCTTCTTCCTACTCCCCTCCTCTGGCTCTTAGAGCCCTCAACTCTTCTGGGAAGTTGTTAGGAAATGTCATCTCCTCCTTTGTGGTCTAGGGTGGGCAGCGGGGTCTAAAGTAAAAAGCAGAGGTTTAAGTCACTTGACTCAGAGCATTATTGCTGAATAAGCAACTAGATAAAGGAAGGATGGATTTTTACACTATGTGGATTTGATCTTATTTGATTTCGCAGCTACACAATCCTCGTCCACAGGATTTCCTACCTTAAAATCAGGGACTCAGTTTCAGGATCTGTGAATGGTTTCGGGGAATTCTGTTCATTGTACTTCTTGGCTGAAAGAGTTTTAGTAATCATGTTTGAACATGTAATTTAAATGTTCCTTAAAAAAACAAGGGTGCTTGCTTTGGGGGACTGAGAAGTAATCACAGCAGTCTTTGCAGCTATTGAGCAACCACAGGGTACCAGGGACCAGATTAGGCGCAGTACACAGTCACAGTAATCTTAATCCTGTGAAGTGGATGGTATCATTCCTAATTTACATTCGAGGAAGTTTCAGCTCAGTCTTGGCCAAGCCCTACTGCTTTCAAAAACCTGGCTGAAATTCTGGCTCAGGTGAGTCAGAGGTGGAGCCCATGCTTTTCCTATTATCCTGAACGCAGGTGGAACTTTGGATGAGTGGGTGTTCATCACTTCGCACAACTGGAATAGAAGCTTGGTTTACAATAGGCAAATAACATTAGCTTTTTTTTTGTTGTTGTTGTTGTTTTTTTGTTTTTCTCCAGTACCGGGAACCGAACTCACGACCTTGAGCTTGCCAGGCAGGCGCTTTGCCCCTGAGCTAAATCCCCAGCCCCCAACACTAGCTTTGTATATGAATAATCACTTCCCTGGCTGGGCCATGTACACTTTTTATCAAGACACTGAACAATGTTTATTTCATGCAGTGACTTAAAAGCCACTTTATATTTAAGTACCTAAATCATGCTCCCTTAATTATAACTCCTAAGAGATGTCAGAATATAGTTATTATGTGTGATTGCAGAGGGGATCGTCAATAAAGAATTTTATTATCCTTCATAATATTACACTGACTTTAAATGTGTACTGCTGTTCACAGAGGCAGGTGGGTGGTTTCGGCGTCACCAGCTGTGGATGAGGAAAGGGTACTCAGAAGCTTGTGTGCTTGTTGAAAAGCCTGCGGAACATTAAGACCTAAGTTCTGCTTCTGACCAAGCATCTAATATTCATTTTCACTGACCTCGTCTGTACTGCGTGCTCTGTGACTGTGTGTCGGCCTGGCAGTCTGGGGGTGTGTGGTTAGCTGTGGCTCACACAGTTCGGGCTTTGGTTTCTGCTTCTGACTTCTTGCCTGCTTATCTGGCCATTGTTTATCCAGCTACTTTAAAAGAGGAACCACAGGGAACAGTGAAGTAATACAGGAGAAAAACAGAAACCCAGTGTTGCCACTGCTGTGACTAGGTTCTGCGTGAGTCCACTTTCGCCCGTCTTCTTTGGGATTTCCCCTTTTACCCTTAAACTGCCCTTTGATTCTTCACCCTTTCCCCTGCCAGGAGCCGTGCAGGCGTGTCCACGGAAAGGCGTGCAAGCTGGGTGTGGTGGCACACCCCTGCAGTCCCAGCACTGGGGAGGCTGAGGAGGATCGTTGCGAGTTCAAGGCCAGCCTGAGCTACAGAGTGAGCTCAAGGCCAGCCTGAACTGCATAGCGAGACCCTGGCTCAAAAAGACAGAAGAAAAAAGAGAGAAAGGAGTGCACTCTACTGTTCATTGCAGAGGTCTTGAGGGCACTTAGAAATCCACAGGAGCCTTGGTTGGGTGCAGGGAAAAGGACTGCAGATGGTCCTGGAGAAACAAAATCTTTCCATTGCATTTCTCTGAAGGAAAATGTATGTTCGTTAAGATAAAATTGCTAGAATCGTGTGCATACCCCTTAACCCAAAACTTCATCTGTTCAGTTTAACATGTAGGGGAAAGACATAACAAAATAGGTTGAGACCAGTAGCACCAGTTTTCATCAGTACCTCAGGTAATTCGTCAGTTCTAGCCAATAACAATGTTTTAGAGTAAAGAATAGATTGTGGCACATCCTGCTGCTTTAGTGTTGATTCCATAGAGATGTGGTGACAGTCCTCTTAGAGGTGAAAACAGAGGACCAGTGAGAAGGAGACCAAAGCTGGCCATGCCCCCTTGAGCTCAGCATGTAACCTTCAGACTGTGAGAAATGAACTGAGGGTGTGGAAACCTAAATAAGTACAAAAACAGAACCAAACAAAATTTCTTCTCCATCTACTTGTGCTACCCTTGTTCTCTTGGAATCCTGCACATTACGGATTGAAGTAGCCTGTTGATGGTTAATAGCTGCATCAGAACGCAATGTCAATTCAGTTACCCTGCGTGCAGACAGGCTGGGAATGCAGTGCTGCACCTGCAGCCATCCTGGCAGCTGTTGAGGAGATGCTCCTGGAAAGGGTAGACTTACCAGGTTGCAGTGAGCCAAGTCCAACTTTATAGGAAAATACTTCTGTCTAATGAGTGAATTTACCTGCAGATGAACACCTTGAATTCTAAAGGAGTTTTATTTCAAATTAAAAGGCTGGGGGGGCGGGCATGATTGTAGCTCTTTTTTGTTTTTTATTTTTTAGTATATGGTAAGTAGCTATATTTATTGAAGGTCACAGGATAGTAGCAGGAACAGGGAGAAGGGTGCAGGGAAAAAAGAGGGTGAAGGGGAGAAAAGGGGGTATAGCTCTTTTTTTTATCTATTACGTGGTAAGTCTCAGAAATATCCTGAACACCTTTAGTTACCCCAAGGAAGAGGAGGAGGATAAAGGATTCTGTGCTCCTTTTAGATCTATGTTGGACCTTGGGTCTGTTGCTGAGACTTCACCTTGAGCCAGTTGCTAGATCCCTGAGTCTCAGTTCTTCCATTTATGAATTTTTTTTTAAGACAGGGTCTTGCTATGTAGTTTCAGCCTGGCTTTGAACTCACTTTGTAGCCCAGGCTTGCCTTGAACTCTTGGCCGTCCTCCTGCCTCAGCCTCCTCAGTGCTGGGATTATAGGCATGTGCTACCATACCCAGGAGAAATGGTATTAAATGATAACTTTTTCTGCCTCTCAGTCTTGGAGTGAGGAGTACATACAATCCATCTTGTAAAGTACTTTTAAATTGTGAAGCACTGCAAAGAACTGTTGTTAACTATTTCTCTTCTCATTTTATTTTTATTAATTTATTTCTGAGACAGGGTCTCTCTATGTAATTCAGGCTTGCCTTGAACTCATTACGTAGCCTTGACTGGCCTTGAACTCTTGGTGATCCTCCTGCCTCAGCCTCCAGAGTACTGTGGTTATAGGTGTGCAGAACCATGACCGGCTCCTCATTTTAAAAGTCCTATTTTTCTTACCCTTTAAGAGTTGTATGCTTTGTCTGTTCCCTCACTTATAAACTGGAGAAAAGGGGCA